TTTATAAATCACTCCTTGTCATTGTTCTTCCACTGACTGCCATATCTTCCTAGAAACACTCCTTTCTCTGTAATAAAAAGGCACTCCATCAAATCCTAATTTCCGGGAACTCAATTTTTCTTGTAGGCTGTTTGTTAAATGATTTCTTCTTCACACAAGCATAAGTTATTCCCTTTGTTGGCATATACAATTGAGGCTTATTTTTTAATAGGCAAGACTGCCCAAAAATCTTGAGTCACGTGAGGATTTTTATAACCAGAAACAAGAGCTAGAAATGTTTGTTCTCAGTTCCCTCCTTGGCCTTCACTTCTCTAGTCCTTGATATAGGGTTGGCATTGTAGGAATCAGATAATGGGAAATAAATATATTTTGTTCGTTGACAATGTTAGCACACTTGTTAGAACACAGAGGATGCTGAGGACTTTCTAAGGCCTGGATTGCTTATGAGAAACTCCAGTCTACACTATCCATGTTGTATCACAACTAGACTGAATTCTGAGAAGAGACAAGTCCCATAAGGTTTCTTCCCACTCCTAGTTCTAATGATAACCCATCCATAAGTGGTACTGAAGCAAGGAGATGCTGGTCTAGTTGTGCAGAAAGGCTGTATCTGGAGGATGCCAGTGAGGAAGCAATCCTGGGGTTCTCTATCTAAGGGCTTGAGTGTCTTTATTCTATCTTGTGGAGATTTCATACAAAGAGTTTGACCCTGGGGAATGTTGGCTTTACCAAGGCTCCTAGACCACATGTGTAAAGACCAACACGAAGACACACATATTCTTGTTTCTCAATGCATAAAAATGACCTTATAAATGGGACATTTCCACTCTGATGTTGCAAACACTGCAGAATGAGGGGACACCAACTCCTGTGTAGCCTTCTCTGAGCTTCAACCACCTGAGGCAGGAAGTGACTGAGCCCTAGCCAGCAGATGGGAAACAGAATGAAGTGGTAGACTTTTCACTCTATGCTAAACACAACCAGGGGTATCTTTCCTCCTTTACCTTTGGCTAATGCTTGAGGAAACACCCTCACAGAAGCACCTACAGTTGTGGGTAGCTAATCTGCTAGGCTCCTCTCTATCCACTGAAGCTGCCAATCACAATCATTACAAAGGATTCAACATCAAGGGAAACAGAAAAACCAAACAAGCAGCAAGATTCTCTACATAAATTAAGCTATCCAATAGACAGACTACCCAGGTAAAACTCAGCACAAGTAATTTAAGTAGATTCTAGCAAAGCAGGGCAAAACCAAATACGGAGCTGGAAGAAGAAACTGGAAATTAAACTGGAAAGATTGATCTATATTGACACTAGAATTCATTTCCTGGAAAATGAGGTGAATGAAAGGTGTCTGACCCACACAGAAGTAAGTTATGACTAACGGGAAAGATGAGAAGGAAAGTAGATTTGGAGAAGATGCATGGGAGACCCAGAATGAATAAGCGACGTCCCGGTGGGATCCAAAGGGCACATGTGACATCTGTGGAAATTCCTGAGCTGAGTGAAAACCGAGCCTATTGAAAGGGAATGGAAAGGTAGGGGGCTCAGTGGTGAGAGCAGTTGCTGCTCTTTCTGAGGACCCGAGTTCAGTTCTCAGCATCCACACCAGGCAGCTCACGGCCATCTGTAACTCTGTATCCAGGGAATATGGCCTCTCTGATCTCCTTGGGTTCCTACTCGTACATTCACATATCCACAGGCAAACACGTACACGGAGTTTTCTCTTTGCAAACTTGAAGGTTTCAGGCTGTACCTCACATGGAATATTTTCCACGAGGGAAATAAATCTTGATTATATATTTTGACTCAAGACTTTAAGAATACTTTTAAAGCCTACATAACTTTTATTCAACATGTGACTATTGTAGAAATTATGAAAAGTATTGTTATTAACATATATGCCATTTTTAGAAATAACCAGCTTATAAAATGTTCCCAAAATAAGTGTTGCCCTTTTCTATTAAGAGCTGTAGGTCTGAACTTATAGATGTCCCTCTAAAAATGGGCAATTTGTCCTAGGCATCCTGTGCATATCTGTAGGTCTCCTGTAACTTGTAAAATGTGAGGATATTAATATGTAGTCTATGGATGTCTCCCACACATTTACAGTCATGCTTAGGTCACTCCTAATGCCGAACGCAATGGGAAAACTGCACAATCAGTCATTATATTCTGTTGTTTAGGGAACAATGCCAAGGAAAATGTGGGCCATCCTCAACACAGACATTTTTTTTCCAGTGGAAGAGTGACTTTAAAAAAAAAAATACATATAATTCGAAATGTAGCTATGCTATCCTTTAGAACTTTTTGTGAAAGTTGGCATTCCTCAATGGTGAATATTTAAACTGATTTTTTATATTTTTTATTTCCTTTAATTTTTGAGATTATAATTATATTTCATCCCTCTCTTATCTCCCTCTAAATCCTCCTAGGCACTCCCTCCTAGCTCTCTTCAAATTCGTGGCCTTTTTTTTTACTAATGGCTATAGTATGCATACATGTATATAAATATAGACTGGTTAGTCTGTATAATGTTAGTTGTATGTATGCTTTCAGGGCTGAACATTTTGTATTGAATAAGATTTTTAAAAGATACTTGGGGTCTGTAGGTGCTACAATGTGTGGATGGGGAGACCATGGGTATGGTGAGCTAGTACATTTGTCAGTGTGACCTGGACGATGATTGACTGAAGGGCTTTTGTTTCTGTGTGGGTGAGTCAACTCTACACCATGTGTTGAGGAGTTCCTTCCACCTTTCAGTTCCAGTCATGGAGGAGGCAAGGCAGGATCTTGAACTAGCTAGGTACATCACACCCACAGTCAGGAGCAGAGATACAATAAATACATGGATGCTCACCTGCTTTCCTGCCAGCAATCATCATAATCTCTCTACTCTTAAACAGATCACTGCCCATGCCTAGAGAATGGTGCTTCCCACAATAGGCTAGGTCTTCCCACAATCAGTCTCCTTAATTAAGACAACCCCCCAAGGACGTGTGCCTAGATTAACTTGATCTAGAGACTCCCCACGGGAGACTCTCTTCACAGGTGATTCTTAAGTTGTGTCAACTTGCCAAACCATCACAAGAGTCAGTGATGTCTTTTTGGAGATTATGATCTTCTGTGTAAGCCACAGAGTGATAAATCCTCAGGGCTATACTTTCTGGAAAGGAGAGCCATGGAATCAGGTCACAGCCTCCTGAGGCAGAATATTTGGGCCCAGATACTATTTTCTCAGTCTCTTACTGCACTAGCTGCACAAGTATAGCAGCTGGATTCCTTTTGCTTCTGTCCTTATTCAGAGAGTTAGATCTGTTGAGCCTTTTTTAACCGCTACTTTAAGGTCTCCCAGGTTAATGAACAGAGGATTTTAAGTATGGCTAATTAAGAACGAGATGATGAACTCTTCTGGAAATGATTAAAGGCCATAACCAAAAAGTGATGCTGTGTCCCTAATCTCCAGGATTCTTTTTATAGAGAATGGGACTCATAATAGGAACCCTTTCATCAATGTTATTTTTTATCATTAGATATAAAATGTGAATGAAAGTGGAGCCAAAAGAAAATGTTCTTCAGAAACCTAGCTATTACAAGAAATGAGAGGCTCAGAATTGAGATGCCTGCAGTTACTTAAAAAATAATGTTCAAGCCCAGATATCCCTCAAAACAACAACAACAAAAGCCATTGCTGGAGATTGGAGCTCAGTGAAGGGAAGACTGAACTAGAAAGTGATTCATGAACAAAAGGAGCTTGTGATTTGGGGGTACAACTGGTCTGGGGTCCAGAATGTAATGTTAACAGCCCTGTAACCTCCAATAACTCATTAGTCTGGGTCCAAGTGTCACATCTGTGTGGTGACAAGATATTCCAGTAATGACTGTGAAATCTAAATAATAAAACGGTGTGCCACACACACTCAAATACCCAACAAATACCTAAGGTCCACTATATTTTTGAAATGAAAACGCACGTCCTTGTGCACACACATGCAACGTAAGAGAAGGTAATGATGTGATTTACTATCCTGTTGGATGGATGAATGCATCGTGGTCTGTGTATTTTAAGATGCTACAGTAAAAGCTGGTTGTGACATATGTCTGTGATCAGTGTACTTGGGAAATTGGGGATGGAGTATCAGGAGTTTCAGGTCACTCTCAAACTATCATTGAGATGGAAAGTAAGTTGAAGTTCCTAGTGCTGACCCCAAGGAGACACCCCAATACTTTTGGAGTTTTGACCTCTACAACCTGCTGATCCTCGTCCCCTGGAATGTTTGGATGGGATCATGAACCATCAAAAAGCTTTTGACAACAGGAAGACCTTGTTAGTTTGGGCCAATTTTCACTCTAGCTTCTGTTATTTTCTTGGCTTGAATCTTAAAGCTGAGCAGAGCTAATCTCTAAACATAGGATACATCTCTTGGTATTGATTGCACACAATAAATACACTTTGATCTATGCTAGAATGTTAATGGCTAAGATGCAGCTGTTGGAAGGGTAGTTGCCTAGCATGCACCAAGTCCTAGGTTTGATCCTCACCAGTGCACAAAACCAGGCATTGTGGTACACTCCTATAATCCCAACACTTGGGAAATCGAGTCAGGAGAATCAGAAATTCAAGGTCATCCTTGATAACCTATAAAGGTTGAAACCAGCGCAGAATACATGAGACCCTGTCTCCAAGGAATAAAAAAATGTGAACTCTTGTGACCCCCTCATTAGTTCATAGCGTCATCCATTGTTAAAGCTGTCTTAATCATCTGCAGAGAGTAGTGTTCTTAATGAGCCGTGCTTACAGACTTTCTTCATTAACCCTGAAGTCTCAACACTATTTACAGGAAGACTTAACCGACCCAATTCTTTCAATAAAGACGGAAGAAAGAGTTCGCACTTGGACTTTTCTTGCTGTTGTACTTACAGGTGCAGGGTATTGCACACCTGTTTCACCATGTCCTGCTTGTTCACCACTCTTGATCATGTTGTGTTTCTTTGTAGAATATAGTGATGTTGACCAGGAGACAGCACTGGCTGCAGCCCATGGCTTCACAGGCTGCCTCTCTGCTGTGCAGTTCAACCATGTCGCACCTCTGAAGGCTGCTCTGCACCCAAGTCACCCAGCCCCTGTCACTGTGACGGGGCATGTGACAGAGTCCAGCTGTGTGGCCCCTGCTGGCACCGATGCCACCTCTAGAGAAAGAACACATTCATTTGCAGGTAAAGTAAGGCTCTTTCCCTCCTCTGTCACAAATGGACTCATTCACAGGATTTGGACAATTTCCTAATTTTGTTGTTTTTCTCAAGATGACTTCTGAAAATTGCTTCTGTTTAATCTTCACATTCTTCTTCATTGACTCTTTTCTGGGGTCTCAATTTTTTATGCATTTACATTTGACATTGCTAAGATTGAAAATCACAGGGTTCTCATGTGCAGCTCTATTGTTTTGTTCTGGCTTAAAACTAAGGAATTCTTCAGAGTTTTCTCCTGCTGCATAGGTTTATCACCCTATCCTTTTCTTTGTGTGTGTGCTTTAACTGTAGATCATTCTGGAACAATGGATGACAGAGAACCTCTGACGCATGCAATCAAAAGTGATTCTGCAGTAATTGGAGGTAACTGGGATGCATGAGTGATTTTTTGGTGGAATTTTATTATTATTACTAACAATTCTGAATATAAGCCTTAGAAAACTGTCTACAAAGAATCTACATATTTTGACTAGGGAATATAATTAAGTGGTAGCCTACCTGGCCAAGAAGCATGAGGTTTTAATGTCATTTCCAAGAATTTAGAGAGGAGTTCACTTATCTTTTTTTTTTAACTTTGTATTGACTCTTTGTGAATTTTACATCATGCGCCTGAGTCCCTCGCATCTTGTACAAGAAAAAAGCAAAAAATTAAAATTAAAAAGAAAGTTAAAAATAAAAATAAAAAAACAAATCTCGCTAAGGAAGCAATAGGATGTCACCCAGTATACTCTTTTGCCCAAACAGTTTTGCTTGCTAATGTTCATTGCAATGAGTCCTTGGTCCGGTTTGAGGCCTCTGGCTTCTGCGCTACACTGTCCATACTAGATCCTCACCAGGACTCCTCTTAGATATCCAGTCGCTGCCCTGCATCGTGGAGATCCTGCAACTTTTGTTTGCAGAACTTCCTTCTCACATGCGCCACATTTCTCAGATGGGGTAGATGTTGGGGGTGAGCATACTCAAAGTCCGGGATCTGGGCCTAGGTGGTAGTTGTGTGGCTTGGCGCACGTACTCTTCTGTGCCTGCATGTCTTGCTTCGCCCAAGGGATGGGGCCAATTCTGCTGCTTGCAGCAACTATCAAGGGGTGGAACCAACTCTCCAGCTCTTCAAGGCCAGCTCTTCTGCAGCCACACCACTAGGGCCAGATCTCCAGCACTGCCGTGGCAAGGAATGGGACTAGTTCGCCTGAATGCTGTACCCAGAAAGGGGTGGGGACAGCTCTCCTACGCCCATGTCCTCAGAGCCAATACTCCTGTGCCCATGCCACCAGGGCCTGCTCTACTGTGCTGCCCAGGCAAGGTGCAGGGCCCCTTTCCCTCTTAAATGCAGGTACCAACTCTGCACAGCCCTTGGACATCAACATGGCCCCATATCAGGGGCTTCTGAATGACCTTTGGTGCTAACATGGTCCATGTACATGGACCCAGACCCTGCTGCTGCAGAGCCATGGGGGTTCGCGTATCTTAATCGCCATACAATGACTCTTTACTGATTTTAAAATTTTTATGCATTGCGTTTTATACATGTATACAATGTATTTTGTTCCTGTTCATTCTCTATTACCCTCTCTTATCCCTCCCATTCCCACTGAACGCACTACTTCCCAGCAAGTCCTAGTCCTATTTTCATGACTTATGTTTTGTGTGACCCACATCCATTGAGTTTATTAGGTTACTTGCATGAACATAAATGGGAGGTTATCTACTACTGGGACATGGGCAACTTACCGTCAACTACACTGCTGAATAAAACAACTCCCTTCCTCCCAGCATCCTTTAACTGCCAATAACTCTTAGGAAGGGGCAGGGCCTCTTGATTGTCTCCTGTCCATAATGGAATGTTGACAGACTTGCACTTGTACACACCTTCCCAGGCACTGAACTTGAAGAAGGATGGTCTAAAAAATTTACCGGGATGATCTCAGAGAATCTTTCCAAATTTCTAACTTCCTTGGAAATTCTCTGTGTAAATAGGATAATCTCACTAAAGCATTGCACTCCAAGATCAGTTGTTGTGCTATGTAAAAGTGGACAATATTTAGCTTAAAGATGGCTGTCTGCAAGCCCTAGAAACTTCTGCACACTTTGTTTCCTTGGACATACTGCTTCTGCAAGGGCTCATATCAGAGTAGGAAAAAAACTCTAGATTAACATTAGAAATATGCATTTTGTGTTTCCTTAATGCTTATTAAAATGGATATTTCATCATTTAGACATGCCTATAAAAGAATTCTGTGCTTTCTGTTCTTATCAAATCCTAAGTTAATAGATTGAAAGTGGCTCTTAGTAATTTTAAATTGCAGAAGACGTACAAAACTTTAAAAATATCTTTAATGTGACAACATCTTCTTCTTAGAGGTATATGTTATTCAAAACCCAATTCAGAAATAGAGCTTTTCATGATTAATGCTCTTCAGATGCTGTTAATCAGAGGACCAAAATGTTAAGTGTTTTAGCATTGCTCTGCTCTCCGAATATCATATGGATGCATAAAATAAATAACCATTCAGCCTTACATCCAGTGAAAGTGATTACTCAGATCCTTGAGAAACTTTCACATAGACTTCATGCTGGACCCATTTACTTTTGTGTTTTAAATAATTTGATTTTACTTTTAACTCTGTCTGTGTGTGTGTGTGTGAATGTGCACATGAGTGTAGATGGCAGTACTGGTTGGATTTTGTCAGTTTCACAGAAACCTAGGCATATTTGGGAAGAGGAACTCTTAATTGAGAAAATGCCTTCATAAGATCTGTCTACAGGCAAGTCCTTAGTTCGTTATCCTTACAGGTGATGGATTTGGGTAGGTTTAGCTCACAAGGCACAGTGCCACCCCTTGGTAGATGGTCCTGAGTTACATAAGAAAGCAGGCTGAGCAAGCCAGGGGAGGCAAGCTGGTAAACGGCATTCCTAGTGGCCTCTGCACTAGTTCCTGGCTCCAGTTTCCTGCCTTGAATTCCTGCCCTGACTTCCCTCAGTGATGGAATATAACCTTGCCAAACTGAAATAAATGTTTTTCTCCCAATGTTGTTTTGGTGTTTTATCGCAGTGATAGAAACCTAAGGCAGTACCCATAAAGGCCAGAAGAGGGATCCCCTGAAGCTGGGTTATAAGCAAATATGAGAGCTTAGAACTGAACTCAAGTCTTCTGCAAGAGCAGTACATGCCCTTAACTATCAGGCATCTCTCTAGCCCCCTGTCTTTTAAAAGATTTTACTTTTAATTTTGGCTTTTATTACGTATGTATGTGTGTGTGTGTGTGTGTGTGTGTGTGCGTGTAAATGTCTGTGTGTGAACAATTTGATGCCTTGGGCTGTCTCTCATCTATACATTAACTTTCTCCAGTAGCTAAACCCTATTTCAAATGATGAATAATAATGGTCAAAGTTTCTCTCATTGTTATTCCTATTCTTCTTCCCTTAAATTAAATATCTTTAAGTTAAAAGTACATGTAACAGAATTCTTATTTAATTCCCTAAGAAACAAAGCAACCCTTCCTTTTATTTATTTATTTTTTTTTGGAGTGATTAGTTTAATCTAGAGTTTAGGCAGTTATTGGAATTGTCTAATGGAAACACAAGCTGCAGTAAAACCCAACTTAAACTTATGACACCTGTAACACGCTCAACACTTTAAAGTAGGAGTCTTGCATAGGCAAAATGGTGTAGTCACAGAGGAGAGAAAGAGAGAGAGAGAGAGAGAGAGAGAGAGAGAGAGAGAGAGAGAGAGAGAGCACAAGGCAGGTTTGCCCCTCAAGCATCACCAGGGGTCATGAAACCAGTGTGTCATCTGGTTTGTTCTTTGTGGAGCCTGAGCTTCAGTAGTACCAGAGCAGCTGGGAATGTCCACATACGTGTTGCAAGGAGCCACTTGTTCATCCTGGTCACCCCGAACCAAAATAATCACACAGAAGCTTATTAATTAAATCACTGTTTGTCTCATTAGCTCTATCTTCTTATTGGTTAACTCTTACATCTTAATTTCACCCATTTATATTAGTCTTTGTATTGCCACATGGCTGTGGCTTACTCACTAAAGTTCCTTCTGGCTCCTTGGGGCTACATGGCTTCTCTCTGACTTTGCCCTTCTTTCCCCTGCCTAGCTCTGTTCTCCTATAGCTCTGCTATAGGCCCAAAGCAGTTTCTTTATTAACCAATGATATTCATAGCATACAGAGGGGAATCCCACATTACCTCCCCTTTTCTGTTTAAATAAAAAATGAAGGTTTTTAACTTCAGCATAGTAAAATTACATAAAATAACATGACTACAAGTTTGACTATTGTAGATGGTTATCTATTAACCTATTTTTAAATTATACATTACATTTATAAATGAACTACACAAACACAATACTTTAATCAAAAGCAGAAATATACATATAACAAAATTGACCTTAAATTTGTATCGATAGACAAAGATCCATAACAATACAAATCTTTATAGCATATCCCCTTTTAAATATAAAGAAATATTTAAAAACAATAATTGGGAATATGGGCATAGTTCTTCTCCAAACTTCTTCCAGCTTTTTGTTGGGTGAAGTAATTTTTTGAGGGATATACAAGATGACCTTTCAGGGGCTCTTGGTCTATCCAATCATGTTAGTATGGAAGCAATCCACAGGTCCTCATCCTCTGTGGAAACAAAAGAAGTACCTCTTTTTCAGAGCAACATATCCTCAGACTCAAGTTTTGAATTCAAGATACTTTTAAAGTATCTATGTCAGTTATTTAGCTCATTCACAATCAAAAAATTCAAAGAAAACACAATAATATACATAATCCCTAATTCAGATCATCTGGATGTCCCTTCTATATCAATATGATGGTGACATTCATTTTTGTAACTACAGCAGTACTCTCTTTAATATTTATCATTTTTTTCACATTGTAATTATTCAGAATCCCTTTCTCTGAGCTATAAACTTTAGATGATTGAACTAACTATAACAACTAAATTAATTGTTTTTACAGGGATGAGAGACAAAATATATAACAACACATGACTACCCTGATTAAAATTAGTTATTAATGTGGTGAAGTAGCCATAGACATTAGTAAAATTACCAAATGCATATTAGATTCATTATTATCTTTCTTGGGTAAGCCTGACCTAGGCAAAAATTGGCTTATCGTCAGCAACATTATTGCTGTCCCTGAAGACTCTGCTGAGTTAATCTTACTGAAATTTCCAAGTACCTTCAAGTTTTGATTTAATTTCACTATATAAACTTACACTCATTTATATTGGAATGGAGTCTGAGGGCGTGGGATGTAGTTCAGGTGGTAGCGTGTTCGTGTGGTCTGCACCAAACCCTAGGTTCCTGGGTTCCATCCCTGGAACAGTGTAAACTGGGCGTGGTTCTGTATGCTGCTAGTCTTGTACTTAGGGATGGGTACAGTATTACCAAAAGTCCAAACTCATCCTTGGCAAATTAGCAAATCCAAAGGCTACACAAGACCCTGTCTCAAGGAAAAACGTATTGACAAAATAATGTGGAGTCTCAGTTTTGCCAAATCACATTTTATCCACACTGTTATTTTAATAGTATCTATTATTTTTAAAGATCTGCATTCATCTATTAGTGTCCTCATGACGATTTTTAAAAAGATCATAAAATCATGGTGACAAATACTAATTTTCCAAAGTGTATTTTTGTTTGACTCTTTTAATTTTATCATTAGCAGGAAAGATCATTAGATGCTTTCCTTGAGCAATAGATTTATTTCATTCCATTGAGACTTAGGACTCAAATGTTTACAGAGTGCGTTTCTCAGTTACTGCACCAGACATGCTCTATGTATATCTCCTGTTTCAATGCACAACCCATCAGAAAGACTCGTAGTCAGGGGTCAAGACTTAATGAAATGAAACATTTTAGCTGTCTCAAGAAAGACATCCTTAAGTGAGGTTGACTGTTGCCTGTCAGTACGATGTCTTCTACTCCACAAGCCAATGACTAGCAAAAGCCAATGGTGTGAAGGTCTGCATTTGTGCTAACCACTCGCATTTTCCCTACTTTCATCATATACCACTAGTGAAAATTTTAACACCCTGAAGAAGCACCTAAGACCTAATGATGGAAGACTAAATTTCCCTCTGTGGGTCCCCATCCCAGTGTGTCCTGAGGACCATCCTGGCTTTACACTCCGCTGTGAGGAACTCATGTCACTCTAGAGTTAATGATTGTAGACACAACTAAGAATTGTAGCCCTTAAAATATTTACACAGAATCAAATTTTCAAAATCCAATATGCCTCGTGCAGGTTTTTACATGTTTACCTACCTCTATCTATATTTTATTATTAACACTACTCATGTACTCAACATACTCCTTCAACAGTTGAGTGAAAAATCAATTTCATTGACATTGTTACATATTTAATCGCAAAACACAGTCTCTTCCTGCATGATAATTAACTATAATATCAAAAATAATTAAAATTTCTTCATGTATAATTATGAAACAACACTTGGTCATAGAAACATGTGTGGTGCTTCCTTAGATAAATAGGAACACATGAAGCAGATCCAAGACAATGCACATTCAGGATAAATGGAAGAGACTGCACAAAGTTGACAGAATCCCTAAATAAACTGTATTATAATACCGCTTTAATCAGAAACCTGAGAGGCTTTTTGTTTCTAATTTATATCATGTAAAGGGTTGGCGTCAATGGAAAATAATATTCCCAGGACTAATTAAGCAATGAACTTGACACGGTGTCTATTCTTACTGGGTATTTCTTTTCTCTTCTCTCTCTCTAGGTCTGATAGCTGTTGTGATCTTTATCTTACTTTGCGTCTCTGCCATAGCTGTTCGCATTTATCAACAGAAAAGGTTATACAAAAGAAATGAAGCAAAAAGGTCAGAGAACATAGACAGTGCCGAGGCTGTTTTGAAAAGCGAGCTTCATATCCAAAATGCGGTCGGTGAAAATCAGAAAGAGTACTTCTTCTGATGGGCAGCAATCCTGTGACTTGCAAGGATGAGTTCATTTTAATAGCCAGGGGCTCTTGGGGGACAAGAACTGCTCTAGCCCTGACCATCCAGGCGATGGATCTGCAGCACAGCCATCTCGCCATGACCAGGCTCGGGATGGCTCCAGGCAGCCTCCTCCAGTGATGCGCTTCTGGCCATCATTCTACTTAAGAAAGGAGCTAGCTGTTGGTGTCCCTTGCCGACTTCTGCACACAATCAAAGCCAAGTTTAACTCGCGTCACAACTACGGTTTTTAAGTATGGAAACTGTAGCCCTTCTCTTCATTCTGTAAAACCTAAGTTTGGTTAGAGGTAAGAATCAAAACTGGACTCTAACGGCCTTGCTTTACTTGAGACCACACCTCCTGTTTGCTTTTGTCTTCCCACGGTGTTGTTCATGAGCCTGGAAATGCTTCTGAAATCCTGTTTGGCTGGTGTTCGCATCTTCAATGGCCAAAAGTCTATACATAAAGCCCCTTGCCTTTCTCTGTATTACATTCAATACATCAATAGTCTGAGAAAAATGTTTTGTCTTTGGCCTGTTTGTATTGCTCTTTTTCTATTTGACCCTTTCGGATACTTTTTAATGCATTTCGTTTTGAGTGTTGAACTTTTAACTCTGAACATGCAATTCCTATATAAAAAGACTCGGAAAGTACAGTGGTTGTCAGTATGTGATGTCATGCCTCTCTGCAGACAGTTTCTTATCATCGTTTGGTGGTGATGACTGGTTAAGACGCTGAGCAACTGTAATTTCCCAAAGACTGTACAACGTTTTCCATTAAACCTGTCCTAGCACAGCAAAAAATAATATTTTAATTGCAACTGTATTACCTCAATTATATTTCAGAGACTATTCTCCCCAAACCTTAAAACAGGTTTATGTTTTTTTCTGGAGGTTATTACCAAGTTTTCTTTGATTTCCCCTGAGGATTTTTCGTGACGTACCCTCTTCTATGCTAGAGAAGGGGATAACATCAAGTGTAGAGCCCCACTCCTCATTCGAATATAGTCATGCCACTGGCGTGAATTTTGCTGTGCACTAACCTCCAATACATGTACTCTGTAGTCTGAGTTGTAACATGGCTCCTATTTTGCAACCGGTAGATAAAGTAACAACAGATGCTCACTCTCTTCTCACACTGATGCTCAAGCCATCATCCCAGTCATTTCTCGTGTAGGATGATTAAGGCCTCAAAAGTGGCTAAGATCAATATCATGCACTCACTAGTCTATGGTGATTAGGGTGTGTATATATAATGGGAGGTGGGAGCATAATTCTTAACCTTATTAAACTGTAAAAAAATGAACTTTAAGGCCAAGAGAACAAGATAATTGCATGGGACTCTTTGTGAAGTTCATAAGCCAATTAAATAACAAAAGCACTTTACAATCTATGTTCACACCTGCCTCCAAAGCAAAAATTCAGCTCCTTGGTTTTTTTTGTATAAAAGGAAACTTGGAAATATATGAATTCAGCATCACTAGCATCTTCTATTCCATGTTTTCCTTGCTGATTCCTCTTACAAAATCTGCTTTTCTTTTCCCAAAACACATGGTCCATGTTAATGTTTCTGTAAATACTTGACTAAATTTTAAAGGACCTGAATTGACAAAGGACCCATGTTGGTAAATAGCATCTATATGCACTTGCACACCACACACACACACACACACACACACACACACCCTGTGGTGACAAGAGAAGTACTTAACCTAGAATTTGAATCATTTGATGTAAAGAGCACAGCCATTACCATAGCTCGGATTCCTTTAAAATCTTGTGTTTTATTTAGTAGCAGTATTGACCTCACCGGTAGCTGAAATGTGGACACATTGATAGATGGTGAAGCTTCAAAGTCCTCTGTGGTCCACACTCCAAAAGACCAAAACGGGATGGCATCAAATTGCATTGGTAGCTTATATGCCATGGCTTGGATTTCCTGGTTTGTAATAAATTTCCCCCTTTTTCCTTAATAAAAATGCATTTTTGGAATTAAAATGCAAAATATACTAAAAGAGAATGTATAAAAGTTTTAAATAAGGGAATTATATTAGATTTCCTTTGTTAAGATAGTAAATATCGGTAGATATATGTCTTATTTGTTGGTGTATGTATGAATATGTGTGGTGTGTTTAATCTTTTTTAAAAAATTCCTGTGATTTTTTGGGAACTATCACGATACTACGGTCTTTATTTTTTTTTAAAAAATTTAATTATATTGTGTGCATGCATTTGTGTGTGTGTGTGTGTGTATGTGTGATGTGGATTTCAGAGGAAAACTTGTGGGAGTTGCTTCTCTTCTATCATCACACAGGATCTGAGAATTGACCTCAGGGTTGTTAGAATTGGTAATAGGCACTTGTACCTTCCCACCTATTGCTCCAGCCAATTTTTTTTTCCTTGAAAGGGACCAAAAAAGAAAAGCAGAAAGATGATTGTCTATGATAATGACTGGGTTTTCAGGATATTTTCAGCCTTTCCTAAGAACAGTGATCTGGGTTGGCAGTTGTCCATGGGAAAGGTTTCTGCACACTTCAGTGGGGTGATTCCCTTTTCCCTGTCTTTTCCTCTTCTCCAAAGCATTTCTTAGATGCACACAGTGTACATAAAGAGACGTTGTATGGAAAATACAGTGTACCCCTCTCCGATTTGAAGTCATCTAAAAAATGGGTGTGGCAGAGCACTATTAATCTCAACACACGGAAGCAGAAGCAGCAGGAGGATTGCTGCTTCTGCGTCCAGTGTTTCCTCCAATGCTGTGTTTACTATATCCATAAGCTATTTAAACAAACAAATAAATAAACAAAACCAGAATGATGTAAAAGACTAGCAGGCCACTCCCACAAAGAGGAGATCATTTAAACAGATTTGTCATTGGGTGGTTCTGTCCTTTGAAATAACAGCATTCCTCATGGGACCAGAGGAGCACAGACCCTGTTTAAAGTGTGGACAGCTCAGCCTCACAGATAAAAAATCCAAGGCAGTATGTTAAACGATTTTCCCAGGAGGCCAATAACAGTATGTCTGCCATTAAGCTGTGACTAAAATTGTCTCTTTTCTATAGAGTTGATCTTAGGGCTCCAAGATCTGGATTTCAACAGTTCTTTCATGGTATAGAGAAACCTGAAGTATCTCAATAGCTCCCCTGTCTAGAGTGACTATGGATCTAGACCTTATCTATCACCTATTATTAATAAACACTCACTGTTTTTTTTTTTTTTCAAATCATTGTCCTTGTTAGATTTGGTCTTCTCCCTAAAACTATGGATTTCAGGGTCCTTGATGCCAGGACAGACAATTATAATTGGAACACTTATTTTTATCAGATGCATGCCCATATTCGTGTATATGGATGTGCAATGGTGTGAACCTGTGTGCAGGCCAGAGCACTACCTCAAGTGTTGTCTTCATGAATTTCATCCATATCCTTTGGACATTGCAGAGCAGTAAGGGTAGATTGACTAGCCATAATACCCCCAGACATCCTCCTCTCTTTGTTTTCCATACTGGGATTCTATGTATTCACCTCTGCACCCAGCACTTCTTGGAAGTGAACTTAAGTCTGTATGCTTATAAGACAAGTGCTTTGCGGACCAACCCAGTCCTAGAGCATTCTATATAGACTTTGTGAAATCTATAACGTGAGGTATATATGACCCACTGAATCACCAGATATCTGCTTCCTGTTGGGAAGATGAATTAGACACACCCTAAACTGAAACATATTCAGTTGAAGATGAGCTGTCAAATCCACGTACGTCTCAGCTGCAAGCTGGCCTTCAATACGTCCTGCTTCCCCTCCACTCTTTTCAAGGATAGATGATAATGTGAAGCTAGGAAGGAAAACATCTAAGGCTGAGTGTTTCCATAGTGGGATATATGAGACCGAGGAACGTTCATGCATCTACAAAAAGCACAGGACATGATAAAAACAGCAAGAGGACATGTGGAGAAACACGCTAAGAAGTTTGGATAGTTGGTTCATTAGAGGGTCCCTGGAGCTCAGTGTAAAAGATTCTCAAGCAAAAATAAATCTGAACTCTGATTTGAATGGTTTCCCCAGTGCCGTATTTTTAAAATCTTTTTATATCTTTTAACACCATACTTAAATTATTATAAAATGCACAATTAAATTTTTTAGAAAAGATCCAACAGTTTAACAAATTTTATCAAGGAAAATAGTGCTTCCTTGCCCATCTCCTCCCCTCGTCTGCTTCAGCTCCCTTAATTGCCCCTCTCCAGCTCTCTCTATGCCTGTAAATAACATGCTATCGCAAGATGGCATCTTTGGAAAGTAAATTTTTAGAGGAAAATTATCACTTATAAAATTTATTAGGTATTATACCCACAAAAGATGTAGGCTGGGGTTGTAACTGGGGCTGTGCTGCTATGGTGATAATGGGTTAGCTGGTCCTGCTTACGTTACCCTCTGGAGGTGTTCTGGGTTAAGTGGAGGGCCTGAACATTCGCATTAGAGTATAAAGGAGATTGGTGTTGTTGTGTGCTTAAGATCATGAGCTTGGACTGGTGCCTCTTTGCAGCTCAGACTGCTCTTGAAGACTGAAGACAAACTCACCCAGTTGACATTTGGTTTCCCCATCCACATAGCAGCTCAAGGGCGACTCCAACAGATTTCTTCAATATGTTGTTTTGTGATGGCAAAGAAGAAAAAACTCATAAGCCCACATGTTTTTGTGGGAGGATATGTATGTGCATTAAAACCTGAAATGGAGGTACCAGGACTCTCTTTCTGTCAGCACTGTTTGGATCTTCCTGCTTCAGACATGACTTCTGGAAGTGGCTTCTTCAGTTCTTGGGTGATTCTCATTTCCTGAGAAAAACGTGCAAGAGGGAGGAGGATGGACAAGGGTCCCGCCTCCACAGATAACTGTAGCTGGTACTCACCTTCCCACTCTACCATCCTTGCCATGTCACAGAGCTAGAACTCCAGTTCTGTTATGTTCCCAAATTTCTTCA